TATCACTCCACAAAACACACTGACTGCCATTTTCACCCAGGGAGGTGTCAAGGGGTAAGGGGAGCTGTGGCTTATATTTACATTTTTGCAGCTAGGACCCCTCATATGCAATTCTGGCTCTCTTCCTTTACTTTCAATACACTAAAGGGGTAGGCTGTCAAGTATCGACTCCCTTCTCCTACTAAACATCACCCTTGACTCATGCTCTATTTTGGTACCATCTGTGTGAGGACAAAGAGGATCATAATCAGATCTCCCACTTACTGATTGCTTGCTGTGAGCTAAGTATAAATGTTTCTAATTTCAAATTTTCATACAATCCTATAAGCACAACATTAGATCCATTTTTATAGATCTTTAAAGTAAAGCTCAGAGGAAACCTGTCCAAGACTATCTGATGCAAACTGTACATTTGAGCCCTTCCTCTTTACCACCAGTGACAGTTCTTCTTTGTTCAGAGAAAAATGTTGACTCTCTACTTTGATTGACTCTCTACTTTCTCTCGTAGCCCTCCCTAGAGAGCTGCCCTCCCACTCTCATCCCAGGCTGGTGTCCTGAATTTCCCACAGTGATTTGGCCCTTACATTAAATTTTCTGGCTTCTTTTCTGTTAGACTCAACTGATATCTTAAAATATCTGATTAGTATTTAATAGTGTTGGCAGGTTAGAATCATATTTTAAAACGGAAAGTATATTTAAACAGAACTTTCTGAATTTAGTCATTGAAAGAACATATTTTTCCCATGAATGTGCAGACAAACTGGACAAGGAAATGACCACCTGTTAGCTGCTAATGATGTTCACATGCCTTTTGAAAAAGTCATTCTGGCTTTATCTGCATACAATCTTGGCGACATAACTCGTGGGAACAAGGGCATAGGAAGCCAAAGGCAGCCAACTGACAATAAAGTTTGTGCTTGGACTACTAATAAGAAAGAAGATACTGTGAATCTCTGATTTCACATAATGATTTAATCTCTAGAGAGTGAGATAAAACTGAATGCATATTTTAAGAAACCTAAGTTTGGGTGTTCAAGTCCAGGATTGAGATCAGAGAGGGGTCTCACACAGAGTATTTTCTAATTTAGAAAAAAAAATTAAAAAGCATCAAATATAAAATATGCCAATCACTATTTCAAACACACAGTCTAATTTGATATTGCATGGGAGGGTCAATCATTACGCTTTTCAAATGAAACTGAATACATAAATACTGAATGCACATAATTCAAAGAAGTAGATTGGTATTAACTGTGTCTCATATGGCAAAAAATAAAAAAGTTACCATCCCTGAAAAAGGACTTACAACTATGTATATACACCAAGATATAGAAAAGAACCATTTTCTAATACTGGGCTTGGCAGGAAAGATTAAATGATACTTTTAATAGTGAAACCAAGTGCAAAGAGTAAATCTGATTTTAATTAATTTGCCAATAACTTTTTTGGGTGCCAATTAAATTTTGCTGATTTCTATGGGTCTTATTTTTGTTTGCACTTTTAAAATCTATATATTGTATGTTTAATGTAATATTTCCATTCAAGTTCAAGATCGATATGAACAGTTTACCTTTCACTTTTTCTTTATGATGTAACAGCTAAAACACAGACTCTAAAATCAGATTACATGCGTTTGAAAGCTATCTCTCCAGCATTTCTTTGTATAAGAGACCTTAATTCTCTGTGCTTCGGTTTCCTCACCTATAATTCAGGGATAATGAAATAATTCACAGGATTTGAGAGAGGATTAAATGAGTCAATAAAAGAGAACTTGGAACAATACTTGGTATACAGTAAATACTCAGTACTTTCCATTATTATTTTTCAAATGTTTGATTAATATTTTAAAAATTTGAAATAAAGAGTCTGACAGGCAGAGAAAGAGTTCTTTTAATAACAATTCAGTCCCCAGATGCCTACAACAGCTGGGCTGAGCCAGGTACAAGTCAGGAAACTGGAACTCAATCTGGGTCTCCCACATAGATGGCAAGGACTCTGTTATTTGAGACATCACCTGCGACCGCTCAGGATGCCCCTCAGCTGGAAGCTGGGATTGGAAGTAGAACTGGACTCAAGGCCAATGACTTCAATATGGACTGCTACAGTAATTTCATATCTTCTGAGCCAAATACCTTCACCACAGCTATCCTTAATTTTTACATTTTAAATGAAATGTGTATATGATGCCATTATGCTTAATTTTGTATATCCTATTTTAAACTCAGAAGCATTTCTGAGGAGTAGAATGAGTCACATGTCTCTTCCCTTACTTTTCAGCAGGATTTAGTTTCGGCTCAAAGACACTGTTACATTCTACGACAGTAAATAAATCCTAAATAGGAGTAGCTGCAATTCTATGTGCAGGATTTTTTTTTCAAATCCATCTTCAAACATTTACAGTATTTTTCAATGCATTCTGCTGGCCTCAATGTTTCTCACACATGTTCTCTAAGTCTTTACTTTCTCTACAGCATCAGGCTTTAGATGCATGTCAGCTTCTCCACCCAAGGGCAATTAAAGATCACTGCCACAAGTCATTGCATCACTCCTCTTTTTATGTCTATTACAAATGCTTATATAAACATCATTAAATATATAACTCATAACCTAATTCTAATTATAAAATCTTACCTATGTCTAATCTCATATAAAGTAAAAGAGTGCAATGATCAAGAGTTAAAAGGAAAGAAATGTTTTTAAAGATTTATCTATTTCTATTGAAAAGGCAGGTTCACATAGAGAAGAGATAAAGAGAAAGATTTCCATCCACTGGCTCACTTCCCAAATGGCCACAATGGCCAGAGCCATGACAATCTGAATATAGGAACCAGAAGTCTCCTTGTCTCCCAAGCCGGTGTAGAGTTCCAAGACTTTGCACAATCTTCCACTGTTCTCCTAATCCATAAACAGGGAACTGGATGGGAAGTGGAGCAGCAGGAACATGAACTGGCACCCATATAGGATGCCAGTGTTTGCAAGCAAAGTACTAGCAACTGAGCTTTCATGCCGGTTCCAAAAGGAAACATTTCTTCTGTGATATAATTCTAAAGTATGAGAAAATATTTTTAAATGATATTTTTGATTCTCCAGAAACACTTTAAGCATTTTTCTAGACATTAATAATAGTAATACTAATTTCCAACTCAATGCAATGGCTTAACATAATATGTAATAGCTGCAGAATATTGTGTTGAAATGATGACTTAAGTTTGAAAAGGTTTTTTATTTATTTTTTTTTTTTGAAAAAGCAGATATACAGAAAGAAGCAAAGACAGAGAGAAAGAGAGAATACACTGGTTCATAAAGTGGCTGCAACAGTCAGAACTGAGCTGATCTGAAGCCAGATGTCAGAAACCAGAAACTTCTTCTGAGTCTCCTGCATGGGTACAGGATCCCAAGGTTTTGGGCCATCCTCCTCTGTTTTTGCAGGTTAAAAGGAGGGAGCTGGATGGGAAGTGGAGCAGTGAAGATACAAACCAGAGCACGATTGGGAGGCCTATAAGGACGTTGCTCTGGGGATATGAACTGAGTCAGGAGAAGTGAACTTGCACCTGGAAGCCCCACACGGAAGGAAAGGCAAATTGCAGGCTGTGGCTGAACACAATTTGCTTGGGGGAGAAAGCGAAAGACAATCTGCACTGTGTGGAGGTCATGTCCTCCGTAGGCCAGGAAGACAAGAAGGTCCCACCCATCACCATTGCCTCCCTGCAGACCAGCGTGGGGCCCTTGAAAGAGGTTTTTTTTGTTGTTGTTGTTTTTTTTTTTTTTTAGTTCTCACACTATTTCTAGGTCTGTGCCTCAAAACGATTTGCCTTTGTAAGATAGGCCTTCTGTCTTTCTGACACACAGGCACACAGACAAACACACACAGACACATGCATGAATGTCGATTTTAGCATGGGGACCCTACCTTTTGTGTGCTCTCTATCCTTGTATATGTGAAGTGTGTATGTATGCATGAGGATTTATCTTGTGTACTTGTGTATGCAAAATGTAAACAGGAGAACAGTTCCTCTTTGAAATGCTTGTTATTTGTGTGCATGTGTGACAAGCATGTTTTCCTTTCTGAATATGCACAATAGTGTACATGTATATTTAATTATCTAGCAAGTATAGTTACTTACAAGGGTTCATATGTATGTTACATTAGCAACATTTCTTCATTTACTGTGCTGTCCTTATATTTAAAAAGCTAAGTTATAACTAACACTGATCCTTGGTTATTAAAAAAAAAAGTTGATTCAGAAAATGGAAAGTGGAAAGACAGAAAATCCAAGACAGTTACTATAATTTTTAAGACATTGGAATATTGATATTATCTGCTTTTTAAAGGTATTTATATATTCTCTCAGGAGGCTGAGTCACAAATCAATTCTTTGAGATACACGATATGTTCTAATAACCCACTTTTATTAAGAGAGAAGCATATTGGGAAAAAATTAAGAGATACTCAAGATCACTGTGTAAGTGGTAACCCTGGTACTTTTTTTTTTCCCTAAATTCAGTTCCTTTGAAGACTTATAACTATAGGTGATCTTGTAAAATATCTCTTTTACATACTATGTTTTCTGTCACCCTACAGAATGTGCATTTCTATTGCCTTCTGGCTACAAATGTGGACAGTTTAGAATCTCACCAGTTTAAGTTGGCCAACTCTGAGGGTCACTCATATCTTCTAACGTTAGGAAATAAAATAGCATCTAAAAGTTTGGAGACTTCCCACATCAATCACCAATCTCAACATCAGGACTATTTCTCAGATTCAGATATTTACTGCTCATAGGCTATGATGTAGAAACACTTTCTCAAAAGGCATTAACAGCAGTGACTACAGCAAAGTGCCCAGACCGTCCTCCAGTGCAAGAACCTTGGTTAGGAAATGGCTACAAATCTCCCATGTGTTCTAAAACTTTGCCTTAAATCGCATTTCAATGCATTTATATTTCATGAACACTGCATTTAGACAAAGTTAAAATGAGCAAGTCTAAGAAAATACTCACTTAAGGATTTTCTGTGCTCTGGTTTCTGTTCTTTCATATCACTGTCATGGTGACTTAGCAATTCAGTACTGCAGGATCTCTGGATTTTGAATAATTCCAGGTTTCTTGATGGACAACTTGGATCCTTCGGCTGGAAACAACAAACAATTAGACTGAATAATTTTGGTGGGGAAGAAGAAAAGAGTCACCAAATAGTTTTGCAGTATATTTTGATGTTAGATTTAAGAGGAAGTTTGAAATAAGACAGTTATTTTGAGATTCAGCCTCTATGCTAGGCTCAACATTCAAATTCAGTAATAGTTAATATATTCACATTCTACTTACTAAATGCTTTGTATTATTCCAAGTTCTATAAAAGTATCAACTTTATCATCCTAGAAATGCTATGTAGTAGATGTGTTGTTATTTATTTTTATTTTAGAGACAGACAGATGGAGATGGGGAGAGAAGGAGAGAACAAGTGAGCATGTGTAAGCTTCCATCAACTGTGTTCACTCCTAAACTGCCCACAGTAGCCGGGGGCCAACGCAAGGATCCCAGAACTGAATCCAAACCTGTCACATGGGTAGTTGGCATTCAACTAAGGAAACCATGGTTGTCTGCCAGAGTCAGTGTTGGCAGAAAGCTAGAATCAGGAGCTGGAAACTGAACCCAGACACTCTTAGGAAGGACACAGGATGCCATAATTGCTATCTGAACTGGTAGGCTGTAATGACCAACCCATGTGGTAATGTTATTATTTTTATTTATCAGATGCAGAAACAGAGCATCAAAGTGATTTGTCAAAGTCCACACAGTTAGAAAATGTTAGAACCAGGGTTTCATCTCAGGCAGACTGCTCCCAGAATCCACTTTAAAAGATGATAAATTGTGAGTATGTGTGTATGCACATACAGGTAGACATGACCATGCTGATGAACAATTTATTATAGTTTAAATTTTGTATTTTTAAAATCATAATGAAAGACTGTGATTAAACATCAACAAGGTTGGACATTAAGCATTGTACTCCCCTGTTTTATAGCATACTAAAGAACTTAAGAATATTTTTTCCTTAAGATTTTGCTATATCAATGTCCTAAAATTAGGTGTTTGGCCTAGAGCCAGTATGAAATCAGTAGTGCTAAATAAATTTGACTCTTTAAAAACAAACTCTGAATGTGTGATTTAGGATAATTTCATGAAATTTTACATGTGCAATTTTCATAAGAAAATCTAGCTAGCTAGAAGAATAAAAATATGTACAAAGGATTATTATTTGCTGGTGTTATAATAGTGATCATGGTCTTAAACCTACTTATATTTATTTTAAGCATATGTATTACAAACTGCACAAACCAAAAATTAAAAAATGTAAAACTATCATTATTAAACACTTGGTGTTTTTAATAGCCTTCAGTGAATGAAATATCTATATTATTTCTGAAAAAAAGAATTTACTTTAAAATAGACAAGTTAAATGACACTTAGCACCGCAAATCTTGCTTGCTGAAAAGGTTGTTAGTGAACTCCACTTACAAGGACTTAAAATTGCTGAATCCATAGGATCTAATGAAATGTATGTGCATTATATGCCTAAGTAAAAAGATTTAAATCAGTACATTTTAATTAGTAAAGATAACAGCCAAAACAAATACATACCAATCTGTCAATTGCATTTTTGATAGCATGGAACCAATCCAATATGATGAAGTCAATATCTGACTGTAGCAGGAACTCATTTCCTGATAATGTGGTGATCTGAAAAAGAAAATCCAACAGGTAAAAAACTACATGAAATAGCATCATTGACATTTAAAATGCAGGTGCTTTAAAAAAAACATACAGTTTAGTTTAGTACACCAAAGTAGTTCTTGTATTCCAGTAATTGTCCTTCTGGGAACTGGGAGGCTAGGGTAATTTTGAACTGCTCCCTATAAACAGTTTTTTTCTTTTTGCATGTCATAACAAATACACTATTGTTTTAATAATAGGACGATTAGCTCAGAGAACGACTAAGTTGAATTACTCTAACTTAAGGAGAAACGGCAAGGAAGTCAGTGTAACACAGACAGTACACACTTAAGTTATATCCCACAAGAAAAATGCAACTGGGTATGTCAGAATTCATTCTGTGCTTTTGACTGTTTCTTGTCTTTTTCAAATCTAATAGTATCTCTACATTTGATTTCCTTTTATGAAGGGCTCTAAAACACACTGTTTAGCAAGAAGACTAATGCAGACTTTTCCTAAAGGTCTTTCAGATGAATAACATTTGGCTATTTCTACCATCTTATCATAAGCGTCTACAAAAAAAATAATAAAGGACCAATTTCCCCACAAAGGGAGCATCTTAGAATAAAAGTTAATTTCCATATTTGAACCTCTTATGGAAAGTATTTATCAAATGAACATCCAGTTTTGTTAAGAACATCCAGTACTGTTAAGTAGTTGGCAGTGCTTACTGTGTAACTATACATTTTCATTTCAGAGAATTTTTTTTCTCCAGAATTGAGAGACAGGGATATGATCTTACAGAAACAAAGCAATGCTCTTGGTTTCACACGTGAAGGGCTCTTTAGATATGCCTTCATTAGACTGTGTGTGGACATGCTTTTTGTATTAGGTCATCAATTACGCTTTCATTATTGACTTCTTGTTGCAATAGAAGGATGAACATTTCTTCACTACTGTCACACATCAGAGGAGGATTCCGAGGTTTAGACGATTGACATTTCAAAATACTTAACCAGGAGCCAGTCACCTCTTCTTGGTCTGACTTCCTCTCAACAGGAGGCAGACACTGAAGTGTGGCACAGGTTCAAAACATCACCAATTATGCTTTAGGCTATCTCCATAACTCTACCATTAAAGTGACAATTATAATTCAAAATGGGTCACTACAAAGGTTGCAATCATTCTTTCAGCAAAATGTAATGACAATAATCTTAAATGTTTCAAGAGAGCTTTGATAATGACTGAGTATATATGTTCATTTGGCATTTATTTTCAAAAATCTCTACAGAAATACAACATCACTCAGTATTAGAAAGCAATCATTCCTGCGTAAGATGCATTCCAATATGAAGTTCTATCTTGGTGACTGGAAAGAGAGGAACTGACCAAACTGTAGACAATTATAAAAGGTGAAAGATTGCAGAATAATAGGATTTAATTACTCACATGAGAATTTTACATATTTTCAGTGTCTCTTTCCCTTCTCTTGCTCTTCTGTTTTTGTTTTCTTTTAATGAAATTTATGTTAGATTTGGGATGACACAAAATAGTTCTCTGTTTTATTTATCCAGCAAAAGATAGCTAAGCTGATGTTTGCCTAATTATCAGAACACCATTGCAATGTTCTTTACTAACATAAAATTCCAAATATTTACTTTATAAAACATTGTCTCCAAAATAATTATCTAAAAATATAAGGTCACTCCTAACTAACGCAAGAAAATTCGTAATGTCCTCGACCTCTACCTTCATCTTAATCTAAATTTAAATATTGTGATTATGAATGTATTAAATAACACCACAATTTGTTAACATACACAAGAAAAATGAATTAGTCCAAGCACAGCATACAATGTAATATAATATTTCTCTGCCAGTATAAATAAACCATTATTAAAATTATAAAAAGGAACAACATTTTAAAAGCACAAGGAACAAATATAATTAGATTTACCGTATTCAGAGGGTTTACAAGTGAGCCAACATAGTTCAGTTTTTAACCTAGTAAATTCAAACAGTGATAAAATATAAGCATTTCAGCAGCCCATTTGCATTGTTCGTGCATAGTATGCAATGCAAAGGGGATTTTTTTACTGCTAAAACAACCAAAAGCAAAATGCATTTTAAAGTTTCTTTGCTGAAATATATTGCTGTATTAATCATGCATAGTCAGTGATTTATAAATTTATTTTTGGAAGCTAGATGAGAGAACTACATGGATGCGATTCTTTCAAAACAACAACTGAGCGATAGAGTTCACATCCTTTCCTCTGTCTTTCCATTAATCTTTTGAGTTACTAGGCAGTCTGGGGAAATCTGGAGAAGTCTGCTACTGCTCTCTACAGTTTAAATGCATCCACTTCTTAATTACAGTCAGTAATTGACTTTGTTCTCCAATCCAGTCACTCTCAGGAAGTAGTTTTAAAACCTTTGACTGGTGAAGCCCATTTAATTCAGGTTTCTCAATCTACCTTTTTATACCGCATCTTTGGGATTTCTGATAAATGGTTTGCTGAATCATATTTGCTCTTTCAACAACTGAATCTTTAACACTCCCATGGGAATATATATCAGTGACGAATGTTAGCTTTGACTAAACCTTTCTAGTGAATAGCTCTAGATGACAATCTAAGGTGACAAAAAACTAATAACAAATATGAAAGATTTGATATTAATCTATGCTAATACATCATTTTTTATACTACATTTTCCTGTGTGGATGCAGGACGAGGGAGTGAAAGAAAAATGTACAGAGAACATGGTGGGTTTAGGTCAGAGCTTCTGCTGTCACTTTTGCTTAGAAAATTATGTTAGGAAAATGAAATTTTACATTTCAACCAAGTTATACATTTTAAAATTATATTTGTTTATTGGAGAGGGAGGTAGGGAGGAAGGGAGGAAGGAAGGGAGGGAGGGGGAAAGGAGGGAGGGAGGGATAGACAGAGAGAGAGATAACCAATTTGTTGGTTTATTCCCCAAATGCATGCAATCATTGGGGTTGGGCTGTGCCTCTTCTGGAGGTGCCATGAATTCAATCCACATGCCCTTGTGGGTGGCAGGAATCCAACCATGTGGGCTATCACCTCTGCCCTTTAGGATTTGCACTGGCTGGAAATTTGAATCAGTAAGTGTAGGCTGAGGATTAAATCCACTCATTCCAAAATATTACCAAGTAGTACTTTGAAGAAATGTGTTAGGGCACCAATCAGTTCTAATGAGTGTGTTGGTATTGTCAATATGCATATATTTAAGTGTGTGTCTGGGGAAATTTGTGTCAAACTTTTCCACACTAATAAGGGGTCTATTTGAATTCTTGCTGCTAACACATTCATGTTCAGGAAATTATATAAGCAGCCCCACCAAGCAATATTCAAGGTAGACAGCTATCTTATAGTTTGGGGGCATTAATTCATCAGTAGCCTGCTCTTGAATTTAGAAACTTGGTTTTTCTCCTTGTGGTTCCTCTAAAGATGGAAGCAAGAATGTGTAAAGTCCAACCTCTAATGATAATGCATGAAGAGGTCAGAAATTAAGTGAAATTTTGTTATACTAATTTAGGTACTGCAAATTTCAACAATGCCAATTAAGTATGATGCCTATCAACATTTTATTGCCATAATAAGATTTCCTAGCCTTGATTTTAATTTAGATAAGTAAATATATTGAATGCCACTTTATACTATTAACATTTTCCATATTTTTGTTTGACTAGAAACAAAATAGCTAAAATAGTCTTTCATAAATAATAACCAGATGAACATGATAGTGATTAATAGATAACCGAATGCCATAGATAATATCCCAACAGCAAAATATTTTTGAACCTTAAATATTGTCTGATCTGCCTCTTCCAGGAAAAAAAAAAACTCACATGTACATAGAGAGAGATGACCAAAAATGCTATTGGGTCCTCTTCCATTTGACAGTTTCACCCTTCAAATATCAGAAAAAAGCTGAGAAATAATTTCACCTTCAGGCCAGAAAGAGGACACACTCATAGCCAACCACCCTTCTAATCACCAACAATGAATGATGAAGCACTCATTAGGTACAAAGCAAATCACAAGAAGCTGAGGATACAGAACCCCCACTCTCAAGAATTCACAATCTGTTGGGATAAATAAGACATATGCACATAAAGATAAGTAACAATAGAAAACGGGTTATCCCATATCCCCATTTGAGTGACACAGAGCATGTTCAAATCAAGACTTCAGAGGGAGTAATTACTGCAGAGACATTTACATCATGGAGTTATGCATAAACTGTTGGTCATGATACGCGAGTCTTTAAAGGTTGATTGTATCAGAACTACACCATATTAAGGATACGATCCTACCACTTGGTATGCAAAGTGATATCAGTTTTAATGATCTCAAAGCACATAATAAACATTCTACAAATGCAGCTTCCCTCCACCATCATAAAGTAATTTTGCAAATGAAGAAAATGAAGCAAATGAGGAAAATGAGAATACCATTCTATCAAATTGGCATAAGTTTAGATGATGGAATTAAGAATTACAAAGATCTTGATTTCTAGTCCCCAGATCCTAGCAGTTAAATGCTGTGTGTGTGTGTGTGTGTGTGTGTGTGCGTGTGTGTGTGTGTGCTGTGCATCGGTCAGGAAGTATTGGTATCAGTTTCAAAATTTGGAATATTGACTTCAGACAAAGTTTGTTTTTCTATTATTATAAGGCCAGCACACTTCAAAAGATCTCAGAATCAAAAACCTCACACTGGTATTCTTTCCTTTTCCCCAGAACCGTTATCTTGCATTACACACACACACACACACACACACACACACACACACACACACACACACACGGGATATGAAAACTCCTTCATACCCTATCAAGAACTAAAACAATTCTACATTTTATCATATTTATTCTGCTTTGAATCAGTCTTTCACTAAGAATCAAGGTGGGGTTGTTTAATCTCAACAAAGTTACAGTATATATAGAAAATGTGTAATAAAATATATTACATACTTAGAGAGCATGCAAATAATCCACATCA